GTATGCTGTATGCTGTATGCTGTATGCTGTATGCTGTATGCTGTATGCTGTATGCTGTATGCTGTATGCTGTATGCTGTATGCTGTATGCTGTCTGCTGTATGCTGTATGTTGTATGCTGTATTCAAGACGCATGCAAAAGCCAAATTGATTTAACACCTTGTGAACAGAGATCACTTCAGATCTGTTCCTGGTCATCTCCACGTCATGCTGCAACTGCACTTTGAGCATTTACAGTTTACTCAGTGAGCTCAGCTTGTTGACAGTCGCAAAGATCAGTGAGCAGTGGGAACACTTTGTGCACTTAGCACGTTCCCAGAATGCGAATTTCGCTTTTTACTTAGCAGATTCTTTTCAATTGATCTAAGGTCAGGCAAACAATCAAATTAGTTAATCATCTATCTATAACTTATTCGTTTACGTCTTTTCCTTGGCAATTTATTTTATTTTAATTTTTTTTTTCGAGAATCATTATAATTAGTTAGACTCTATGGCTATTTGTTTGATTAAAATAGCCCCACCCACCAATATAATTGCCAAGATTTTTTTTCTAAGCGACAATGTATTGATCCTAGTCACGATTCCATGCAGTGTCACTGTGCATAGCATAAATACTCAACACTGTTTCGTGAGTCATTAAAAAAAAATAAAAGCCAATAATGCTATTTATTATTTTTCTACTTAAAGTATCGTTTCTTTCGTTTCCTATTTGCTAACCTAACAGTGCAAAGTGTTTGCTCAACACTAAACTGCACTGTTGTAGTAGTTCAATTGAGACTTATTTTCCACTATAGCTAGCTAGACTTGGCTTTCTAACACCGTATATTAGAGTGTATGTGTTCACATGTTCGCTAATCAGACAAATAACGAGCACTTTTCAACACTAATCAGTACTGACCAACACTGTTATTTTCGACTAGCAATATGCTTGACTTGAACTTAGAAATGAATATGCATTTTCTGGCATATGTAAAGCTCTTAGCTTAGCTATCTATACGACACCTACGTTTACCAACACTGTTTTGCTTATATATACAATAGATTGATATTAAACTATTAATGTGTTTGTCATAAAAAGTAATGCATTTTCATGCATCTTACTTTTCACTACCTTGTTCTTTACACTACTTACCAACACTGTTTTTTCGCTGCATTGCATATAGAATATTCTGCTCGAGTATAGCTTAAGCCATGTGTTAGACTACATATTGTATTAGGTTCGACTTGTTTAATTTGCATTCCAGCGTTTACCAACACTGTTTTTTCTATAGATCTCTTGTAGATTGGCAAGAGCTGCAAATGAATTTGGTTTCCAGCTCAATGGGTTCCTTTCACCAACTCTGCAATTTCGTGCAGCTTTCGTTAATTTTCCAACACTGCCCTCCCCCCTCCCCTCCCCCCTGCTCGCTGTACGGGCGAAGAAACACAAGTGGATTAGCTTGTATCTATATAGCATTTATATTAACCCCCCTATATTAACAGTTAATTGTGGGTTATTAGCTGTGGGTGCTCGACGACTCGATGCTGCTGCTGCTGCTGCTGCTGCTGCAGCTGCTGTGGCTAGGCCAAGCAGTTGGAGCCACCAGCTGGAGTTCGAGCACGAGCACGAGCATCGCCACAGACACAGACACAGAGTTCGACTTAGAGCTAAAAGTCAACATTCACAACATACAGTTCACAATTTCACACACAGCTCACACACACGCAGACGCACACGCACACGCACATAGAAAAACTATAAAAAAAATATAAAAAAAAAAAAAAAAAAATATGACAATTTTTGTAGGCGGAACGTAGAGTAGTTCTAGTTCATCTATATCCATATCAATTAAGTGGATGGTGCCTCCTGCTGCTCCTGCTGCTCCTGCTGCCCCTGGTGCTCTCCTTCTTTTGGCTCTGCCCCTCTCTATGGTCAGCAGCCGCTGCGTAAATTCTTGCTGGACATCTCATTGTACTCGATCCACTTGCACAGCTCCGGCGGCAGCGGCGGCTTCATCTTGATGCTGTACGCCGTAGTCGCAGTCGCAGCGGCCGGCGCTGCTGCCACATGCCCGTTCTCCGCCTGGCCCGCCTCCAGGGCCACTTGCGGCATGGGCGTGGCACTGCCCATGCCCACCGGCTGCAGGCTGGCGGTGGAGCTGAGCGTGTGCCGCGACGCCTGCAGCGGCGTCTTGGCCAGCAGCTCGGCCATCACCGTGTCCATGGGCACATCGATCACCCGCTGCCGGCAGATGGCGATGCAGTGGACAAACTGATCGGAGGGACGCAAGAAGCGATGCTCCATGAACAGCGACTGCTCGTCCCAGTAGATGATCTGCAAGCAGAAGAGTGCAATTAGTCTCTCCCTCTCCCTCTCCCTCTCTCGCTCGCTCTCCCTGTGCATACCCTGGACTCGATGGTGAAGCGCTGAAAGGGTCGTATGAAGCGACGATAGCGTATGGTCGCCGCGCCCTGAAACACCGATCCGCCCAAGCGCCGGATCGTGCTGTAGAGCTGCGTGCGCTCATAGAAATCGACGCGTGCGAAATCCAATTCCCGAAAATACCGCGCGTTATTCATGTGGTAAAGCAGCGTGTCCACATCGTTGCTCAAGCAGAGGCCTGAAACGGGTGAAGCAACATGATGAAACCAATTGTCTGTCTGGCTGGCCCGCTGCCTCGCCCTGCCTCCCGCTCACTCTGTGTGTGCACTTACCATTCACCGTGGTCGTCTCCAGGATGTGGCAGCGGCGCTTGATGAACCGCGCCAGCAGCACACAGAGGCACATGCGCAGGAAGTAGTGCAGCTCCAGCAGGCCGTAGAGCAAGACGATGGCCAGCAGGCAGCTGAGCGCGATGTAGCACAGCTGTTCCATGGCACGCAACGGTTGTGCAACGGCTGGCCGAAGCGGGCGGGCAGGCGCTTGGAGGTGGGGGTGGCGCTGTGGCGCTGTGCCTCTGTCGCAATCGCGGAAGGCTAATTAAATACAGAAGCCAGTCAAACGCGCGCCGTTAGTCTATAAATAACTTCTAATACAGTTAATTTTGCTTGACGTCTCTTTTTGCGCGCAACGGCTGGACGCTGCTTTGCTACCGTTGCTGTTGCCTCTTCCTTTTCGTTACTTTTCTTTAGTTTTTTTTTTTTTTCTTTTTGGTTAGTTTTGGGTTGTTGTCCTGACTAAAATAAAAGGCTGCACAAGAATTAGGTCATATTTTGCTGACGTTCATTTGCCGCTTCACACACACCCACACACACACGGACACACACACAGAAGCGCACACTGGCACACACATAGGGACAGCCACCCACACCGAGACAGGCTGCTCCTTCAGCCAATTGTCCAGCACTTAAACGAAAACACAACTAAAATCCAAATCAAATGAAACGAAGAAAATAACCGAAAATTTTTTGGATGTTGTTTAACGCAACGCGCCAACCGCAACGACAACAGCGCACTAAAACCGTTTTTTCATTTTTGTTTTTATTTTTTGCTGCCTTTTCGCTCTGCGTTTTTTTTTTTAGTATTTTGTTTTTGGCCAAACGCGGTTCGCCTGTCGCCGCGCCGTTCGGTGCGCTGAATAGCGCCGCCAGCGACGTCGGCAGCGGCGTCAGCACCGCTGCTGGCATCCTCGACAACAGCTTTGTCAGCTAGCTGGGCCTGCTTGGCGAAAAGCTTTTTTAGGGGTTGAACCTGTTGCCGGCGACAGTGGCCGTGGGCAGAGGGCAGCGCCAGCAGCAGCGCAAGCAGCAGCAGCAGCGACTGCAACTGCGGCTGCGCTGTGGCCTGCGAGCTTTTTTCAAGCTGCAGCTTCCGCTGCCCACGTTAGCAGCAGCAGCAGCAGCAACTAAAAAGCTGTATTAAATAATAAATTAGCTGCATTTGCGGTATGGCATTTCGAGTGTCTTGGCTGTTTTTCTTTTTTTGCATTAAATTATTCATATTTCAATTTTTTTCATTTTTTCATTTTTTTTTTAGTTTTAGATTTGTTAAAGCAAACAAGCAAATAAATACATTCAAAGTCCTCGGACCGTTCGTTCTCTGAACCAACTAACCAGTTAGCCAAGCTATTAGCCAAGCTGTCATCCGGCTTGCCAGGTAGTCAGCTAGCCAGATAGTTAGCTAGCCAGCTAGCCAGCTAGCCAGCACGCGTGCTGACAAAGAGATACCCTAAACGAAAGCGCAGCTTAGACGACTAGAGCTTAAGTCGCGCGCCTGCTGTCGAGCTTTATTGCTGCCAAAAGCTTTCGTATAGGGGTTATGTACGTTGGAATTGAAAAGTGATTCTTTGATTTAACTGTAAAGCTATAAAAATCAAAATATAAGTATGCTTTTGCTTAGGCTAGGCCAACTTAAGCTAACTTAAGGGTTGTTTAGTTAGACTAAAGCTTTTTGCATGAAACTAAACTTAACTGAAATGTGACTCAGACAATATTACACATGAAATCTTGGAAATTTAACACTGTAAAAATATATAAATTGAACTCCTTGCAGTCTTTTGCCAAAAGCCTTAAGCATGATCTTTGCTCAAACAGTTTATATGAATTTTTATCTGAAATTCTCTGATAGTTTATCGAATATTTAACAATTTTCGCGATAGTTGAAAAATCATTTAGCAATTTTCCTTAAAATAACTCTTTGTACATTATCTTTTCATCATATGTTCCTTAAGCTCTTATTCTAATGGAGTAAGGCTTTAAAATTCTACCCAGTTTAAGTCCAAAAAGTCCAGTCTACGAAAATTTAAAAACTAAAAGAGTTACATATAGAAAATTTAACAATTTCCAAGCCCTCAAAAATGTTACTTAAAACAAATGACAAATAATGATAATTTGGCTTATCCATTCAAAGGTCGACTCCCACAAAATCGAGTATAAATCAATTGGCGCTGTAGGACATCTCAGGAGCTCCTAAGAATAGCTGCACCTACATGCATAATACTTTTCCCATCGATTTTCCATTGATTTATGAATATAGATTGAATTGAGAATGAGAATCATGAAACTGAGTAAATATTTCTATTTGCAGCTCCACAAAATAATTACCATATATAGGAGAGTCTTTTTCGATATTCGACAGTTAGGAATGCTCCCTATGATAGATATGAATGAAAACTCGTTTTATCTCTTCAAATTCACATAGGGTCTACAGTTTAGATCTCGTCTGAGGGACTATAGAGTACATGTCTGAATCTATATATCTTCATATCTGTATAGATAACTCTATGGATACCCGACTCTACATAAGTAGCTCATAGAGTCTAATATATATAAATCCTTTATATAGAGTATGTTATGTAGTCTTTATATAGAGTATATCTAATCAATTTATCTTGTCAATATCTACATTTCTGTTCTGAAGAATTCACTCCATTATCTATATTTATATCTACTTGAGATATATGTATATGATATAATTACTATCTCTATCTAGTCGCTCTTCCCATATCATCTCTATTTAAAACCGAAATCAAAATCCATTCACTACAAATTCCCAAGTTATAATAGCACATTTCATTCATAGTGAAAGTCCACCCGGGGAGAAGTGTCAATTTATAAATGGGTTAATTTGGTTGAATAAAGTTCATGACGAACATGCGAAATCAAAATTCAAAACTTAGCACATGCAGTAAGTATATGTGGATATACACATTACGTGGTGGATATATGTATGTATATTTCTACATCTATATAATATATGTATTCCCACATTAATAGCTACATTCATGACAATTATATGTATGCTAATTGGTTGAGGCGTAACTTACATTTAGGCTCGCCTTCTCTAACCGCCTAGTCACAGCAGCCAATATGCCCAGGGCGCGTAGAGTAGGATGAAACAACAACTAAGACACTTAACGCTAAAAAATGTTCGAATCGAGCAAAATTAACAATTAGCAAATCGCACGCTGTACAAACACGGGAAGTTTGCTTTACAAGGCGAAGTGTTGGGGCCCCATAGCACCGGCTCGACTAAAGATCTAGTAAGTGTCTGTATATATGCTCATATTAATATATGTATATACTCGTATATACTAAAGGCATATATCTGCGCGAGATCTGTTCAAAGAGTATTGCTAAGTATTGTTGTTTTTAAATATACTCTAGGGTATTCCCGAAAATCGTTTGTAATCCCAGCAAAGTACTGAAACTCAAAGGATTTAAGCTATAGATGGATGCCCTTGTCAAAACACTTCATTTCCATTGGGAGCATATCAAAAGTCTTCCAGTCTCTAGATTTTGTGACTAACTTGCATAAATAGATAGAGATATATGATCCCCCCTATATCATTCACTTTACATTCACAATTTTTTTTTTTTTTCAAATTTATTTTATAGTTTTCTGAGTAACCCAAAACATGTACAATTCAGATAATATCAAAGCATTGCTATATATGGATATATACCATTGTAATTGTAGTCCCTTATAGTACAGTATATAGTATGTATATATAACTGATATATATTTAAGTAAACAAGGGTCAAATGCCTGTTTGTTGTTCAAATTGTTCAAATATTTACCGAGCATTATCTCTATACTCTCCTGCTTCTTCTTTTTGTAACAAGTGTTTTTTTTTAGTTTTATATTTCTCAAGAACTCTAAAAAATACCCTGTGTTAAATGCGCTGGCTGGGTTGCATCAGCTTAAGAAATAATACGATTTCTCTCTTTTCTTCTTGTTTTATCCATTTCACAATTTATGTGTAATATCGAAGCACTATATAGTATTCTATATATATAGTCTGTTGTCGTCCATATGAAAGCTATGAAGTGGTATAAAAAAGAAAACTTACATTTCAGGCACAAAATCGGACAACTTTATATGAATATATATGTATATAAATTAGCTTTAGCACAAATTTGTAGATTTTAATTTCAAAATATATATTTTTT